AAATAAATGAGATCTTTCTGTGAGATTGTTCTAACAAATACACCGAATATTTCTCTCAAAGAAAAATATTGAATTGATAAAAACTTTTGAGCGTCCTAAACTGATATGACAGCTGGATATGCCGCCAGAGACACATTTTTTCGTCTTATGACTAATATTCCTTTGGAAAATTTTATGTTTCATAGATAGAACACTTCTTCAAGTATACTAATTATGTCAATTTTATCGTGTTGTTTTTGGTCTTTTCGTTTAATAAAGTGAACCTTATGGAACAATCGTTAAGATCTTTAAACGACATAACCAAGTTTACAAATGCTAATCTCGCTTCTGTCGAGGTTAGTGCGGAATTGTCTCCACCATCACAATGAAAAGTTTAATTTCAAGCTTGTTTGCTTTGGCGCCCTTTTGAGGATCTTACTCTGATTCAACATTGTATTCAAACGCTAATTCTGCATTACCATTGATTGTAACAATGTCTCAATTATGGTAAGTTTTATTATTAATTGCTTTCAAACATTCATCAACGTTTCACTGTCTATAAATTCGTGACTTTCTTTTTCATTAGTCAATAGTTCAATTACCTGCGGATTAAAATATTCACAACAGTAGGTTTGAGGTTTTCTTATAATGAAATATTTATAAAAAAAATGAGTGTTCAATTAAAGACTTTAGACCTATTGGAATAATTTTTGTTGCTATATCAATTTAGATAATAATAATTAGTATAAATGAAAACAGATTAAAATTTTTCGAGTATTGTTGAGTGTAACTTTATCATATTCATGATTATCCAATTAGTTCGTACTGAGAGGCTCGATGAAATAAATAAGCAACGATCAGAGATAAGTATCGCAACGTTCATGGGGAGTGACGTCGATTTACTGATAATGTCATCGTTGATATTAAAGCTCGTGAATATCGGTGGTAGCAGAGCATTCGCGTTCATTGCTAACTTGATTTGACAACTTGTTATGCAATTTATTGATTACTAGTTTTTATCAGCGACATTCCCCATTCCATTCCATTCAATAAGGCTTGATTTAATAAAGTAGGTACGTATATTATTAAAATCGATTAGTCATGTAAATCCGGTACGTAGATAGAAGTCAATTTAATACTCGTATTTACAGTGTTTTGTGCAGTGACGGATGAGGATATGACATTATTTGTTTTTATATCCAAAATATCAAAGTGGCGATTAAATGAAAAAATCATAATACACTAACTAGTACAATAGAAAGAGGACTCTAAATAAAACAGTATGCCAAGTCGACTGGTCGTATCTTCTCTCCATAAGAAGTTAGCTGCTCTAAATAGTGGGGCATTAATAAATAGTTAAGCTTTATTGTATGTAAATTAATGGTAATAATTAGCGAAAGTTCTAAGAATAGAATTTTCAGTAACAAAAGCTTGAGTAAACAATTTATAGTGTTCTAAAATAACACAGAAATATATCATGTCATTCCAATATTCTGGAATCCGGGTATGATATCCATCATCAGAGTCGGTGTTCCGATAAAACATCGATGTGGCAGTCCCGGGACGGTACGGAGGGCTCGTACCGGGAATGTCTCCAGGGACAACCCACGTCACCTCAGCCGGTTGCGGTTAACTTATTCAGAATGAGGGAATTGACGAAAAGTCAGAGGCTACATTTACGATTTTATGGTGTATTCGCTTGTAACGTATATATTGAAATTTTCAGAGATTAAACACGATTTAGCTAGATTTTGTAGCTTGTAGATTTTGTAGCGAATTGTATTTAATTTCTGATGTAGTCTGAATTTTTTTTTTCAAATATTGTAAATACGCAATATATAACGTAAAAAAAAACATCTAAAAATATGATTTTTCTGGCAAAATAAATATGGACAAAGGCACTCATCGCTTATATTAGTATGCTTAATACAAAGCCTGAAATCTATTTGAGGAATATCAATAAATCATACTCAATTGAATTAGAAATATAAAAAAAAATATATCTTAACATAAATGATTAGTATTGAACGGAAAACATCTCTAAATACGGAAAATTCCTCTTTACAGAAATACATAATTTAATTATGAGTGTTAATAATTTAGAAATAGATTCTATTATCGTATAAATGAAACCTTTGCGTCACATAAGGACAAAGTACTTAGTAACTCATGCGAGCGTAAAGCCATTGTTCTCTATAAGGACATCGCACGAATTGAATTAGTTATGAAGTAACGGTATAGTCAATAAAGGTAAGTTTTAATTCACTGGTACAAACGCCATTTGACACAAATCTCACTAGACAATGTTAAAACAGTGGTTTAAGCGTTAGGCTATAATTATGACTGTTATAATACAAGAAACGATAGGCATCGTTTTAAAAAAACCGCTACATTTTATTTTTTATTGCTCACATCAGTTAGGTTATTTTTGAGTAATTATTATGTTAAATATTTAGTCTCATGGAAGGTCTCTCCAAATACGTCCACGTCCAACGTGGACGTATTTGGAGAGTCTATATACACAAAGTGTAAGTAAGTGTATTGCTATGTGGTACCGGCAAAGAATAGGCCACTTCTCTTCCCGTGGGATTCGTAAAAGACGACTAAGGGAACTTAACGATAGAGGGATGGCCAGAAGCGTCCCTCTTAAAACATCACTAAAACATGACTGCGGTTGCTAACCCGCTTGCTAAGCGTGGCAACTACTGGCAAAATCTCCGTTACGAGGCTTATTTCAGCAGTAGACAGTTAATGGCTGATGTGATGACGTATCCAAAAGAAAGTTTGATTGACTAAAGCACAAACGAAATGACTGATACTAGAAATACATTCAGAAGTTCGCTATTATGAGAGAGCTTGGAATTCAAAGCGTGAATTTTCTGAAATCCGTCTGGATCATGGTTAGTGGTTCCGTGGGAGTGACGCCAAAGGAAACGATTAGTAATATCAATCTATTATTCCTCGAAGATTTACTGGAAATTATTGCTTTTCACATATTAGATTCATAGAATATATACGAACATATAAATGAAGACTGTAGTCTTCAATTACTTTTAAGAAAAAATCTAATTATATGTATAATAAAATTTTCTTCTTAACGCCTACCTATATGACATTTGTCGTTGTGTCGTGTAAAGGGCAACAGTTTAATTATAGTAACCAGTCATTCCATCTGGAAACAATTTTAATGAATATTATACACTGAAAATGTTTTCAGAGACCGTTTGAACTGTATATAATCTAACATCTCTTGGGAATATGTATTTGTAATTCGTAGATAGAAATGGGACTGTGATATGTACATATGCAAATATTCAAATTGACGATCAACATTATTCAATAAGGAAAGTAGATTTAGATGTTCGATTGCTACAGCTCCTTATCACGCACAAGGTGACAGAACATGAAAAGGAGGTCGTAGATGGAGTAAACATGTTTATGAATAACATTTTGAATCGAGCCGTGCAAATTATAAGCAATGTGAACAAGTAACCATATGGTTACATAACATTTATCATTGTTTACCCTTGATCTATGTTTGATATAGAAGATAAACTAAATAATCAAAGAAAATAAAAGAAAAACAGATATTGTGAAAAAAAAAATTCAACTTTAGCGATGTAACGTAAATGAAATTGAAGAGGACGTGACAAATTCTAACTGTTACCAATAAGTATACACCAAAAGGTCATTCAAATGCAAGAATATAGTAGAAATAAAAAAAATATATAGCTAACAAAGATCCAAAAGACCATTAAGTACGGATCGGTACTATGCCACGGAATGAAATTGTCTAGCAATCATATTATTGGGAGCACATCAGAGCGATTTGTAACAACAAGTCATGAAAATTTAATGTCCTAGCTGTAGTTCTGCGAAGTGAGCTCTTCGCCAGGTTGGCATTACATTTTTATATTAGATACAGAAAACTGTTTTGTCAGATCGCAATTGTGAAGTACATTTGTAAATGCAAAACGAGAATAGTATGAGATGTAGTTAATATTTTACAAAGGTCTCTATCGTATGTCGGTTTAGAAAATATATAATGTAATGTGTTTTGTAGATCCCCAGTAATATATTTATGAAAGTTAGTAAATATTTATGTCGTTTTTGAACTAGCTATAATAATAACAATTAATTTTTAATTCAGATAACTTTGGTCCATATTTGTTATAAATAACCGATGATTACGTCCATATGGTCAGGCGAAACATTTTTTTTTTTTTTTTTTACAACACAGGGGACAAACGAGCATGCGTCTCACCTGATGGTAAGTGACTACCGCCGCCCATGATCACCCACAACACCAGCGGCATTAAGAATAACTCTTTTCTTGAAATGTTGTCGTATCGGTTCATATCTGGAAGTTGATTAAAGAAGATTGTGGAAGAAAATTGAAAAACGGAAAATTCCATAACGTTTGGGAGCCGTTAGAGATATAATAATATATTTATATTAATAAAGATTGTCAGATAATTCGGAAAATTAAAATTGGGGTAGAGATAAAATAATATATTTATATTCTGACTGTGGGCATCAACACAAATTCAATGGTAGAGTGTTTATGTAACATTTAACCTATTTTAGCGCCACAAAATTTATTAGAACGTTTTTTAAAACTTTTTTATTTTATTAACATACAATAGCTTGCTTTGCTATATGCAACGACTTGTATTAACGATTTTGAGCTGTCAAGTAGGGGCATATCTTGTTCGTACAAATCTTGGTTCAACGCAAAGAGCCACGCATCATGCAGTAAGGCTGTCTCGCTGTTGCGATATAACCGTCGTCTATTGACAGGAACGACATCGTACGCACTATAATTCTATAGTGCTCATGGCATCCCTCAATGCGTCACTTTGTAAGTAAAACAAGCGTGATGTAAAAGAATCGCTACAGTACACACATGTCCATAGTTTATAGGTATATCTGTGCTTCATCACGCTGTGTAGTTTGTGTCAGCATGCGTGCTAATAAGCATAGGAATTATGGATTATTTGATTACTAATCTATATACAGACCATCTGTGGGCGATGTGTACAGCTTCTTGCACAACTCCTGCGGACCACCGAGCGCGTTGATCTTGGCCAGGCCCTCGGCGCCGCGGGACTCCATCAGCTCCCGAAGCTGCCGGAGCGAGACGCCATACTGCGCCGGCCGCCCCTCCACCGTCGCCATGGTGCCGGGCTCGCGGCCGCCGCCCGCACCACGCCCGACAACCCTCTAGCTCTGGAACAAACGAAAAAAGAATCATCAAAATAGGCTCAGAATAGTCGTTTTAAAAAGTATTTCAGTCATATTATCAGTCTATTTCCGTGTGGTGACGGAGATACAATATGTCACTACCACCTACGATTTATCTTAATAAGTTAGGTCAGTCTAGTTCTCCCACGTTGGATCCTTTTATTTTAAGCATAGCATTTGATCTATTTATATGATTAATTTTTCCATCCGTTCTTATACAACAACATTTTTAGACTTCTTTCAAACTAACGTACATTCGAGCTATTGTATATTTGATAATATCACTTTATTTGTGACTAAGTGCTAGGTCTTATTTATGAGGTCTACAATATAGTGTATATGGATTTAAATAGATGTCACAATTGCATATTAATTAATTATATTCTTGTTAATTTTTAGCTCAAAATAGAGCCTATTCAGTTCAATTCCGAGTCTCTTTTTATAAAAGCAATATAGTTGGTATTTGTGAGCTTAATGTAGGACAAGATTTTTAGACAAGGCAAATAGTTTATTAGTGATGGGCTTAACTTTTATATAAATGCCAGTACTTAATAAAACTACACGTTGTTCTATAATTTCTATTTAGTTATTATGCCCTTTGCCTGCATCCTTCCACTTTCATATCGTAAAATTAATGAATTATGAAAATTATTTTCATACGATCCTATAATTCAAAATACTATGGTTTGTTTCATTTTATTTTGATATCGACAGTTACCCGGTTCCTGATACCTCCTTCCAAAGTTACTCTTGCACTACAGTTTATGATATCGCATTATTTATGACTCGGCATTAGGTCCTATCTCGTCTTCCCACGTCACGACGTGCTACGAATCTATTGATGTCCATTTACAATTCAGATTGCGATGACATAAAACTGTTTATCGATGGTCATGTTATTGGGATATCGTTTTAGGTTATCTCTGTTTCCAGCAGATTCTTTAGATAGAATACGTTATTCGCCGTTTCCGCGGTATTCTTGGTATTCTTTCTTTATCGCAAAAGATCAATTTATAATCGAAATTTCAAATTTTTAACCTTATAAGTTTTCCATGACACAACAAAGATAGCCATTAGAGTTTTACCATTGGGTTCGGAGCTCGGAATTCTGGATGGAAATTGACTGATGTATTAAAATACACAAGTCAATTCGTCAGTTACTCAGAGCTTTATATTTTTAATTATATTTAAAATTAAAAAGGTCCTGTCGTGATATTTTTACATTTTATAAGGTAGTATTCTGTGTAAGGAGAATGATTGATTAATTTTGCTAATGCAGTTGAAAATATCGGAAATATTATGTAAGCAACTACTATTAGTGCAACGTTAAACGGGGGAGAAAGACGTAATATCATGAGTACAAAGTTTCGTCCGAACTCGTCACGCTATTTGTTTTATATCTACTTTGATTTATTAGTGTTAGTTTCCCCCAATTAGATCATAGTAATCAGCACGTCTAACATGATGAATGATCACTGACCTTCTTACTGTGTTCCTAGTGACACAATTCAATTTGGTCGATGGTCCATGTTTGTGTCTTGTAGAAGTAACTTACTATTATGATAAATCCAACTATTAATTAATATAAATGTGATAGTTTGCGAAGATGTTTCAATCTTTGCTACTCAATCACCCTTAAATCATTGCACAGAATTGATTACAATTTGGTACGTAGATGGATCATACCTTGGATTAACATCCAGGATATTTGAAGTTAGTTACTGACTAAATCTCGCTTTGGTAACTAGACATAGTTCGAGATTGTTTTTTACGTAATATTTTATCACATCAAAATTGGATTGAGAACGAACCATGTCCAAAATTATATTATGAATGTGGTTTAACTAGCTACATTAAAAATCCTAGTTAATTTGGGTAAAGTCACTGTTTATAGTCTCTATATGTGTACACGTACTGTTTATATTAAAAAAATAGTCTTGAAGTTTTTTGGAGATAGAATAGATCTTAGAGTTTAGCTAAAGTGCTGAGCTTAAAAAATGGTTATGTCGTATAAGGTGTATATGCCATGATGATTTTTTAAAGAGCATAATAGAAGAAAAAATAGAGGATAAAAGGGGAAGATGAAAACGGACAACTACATGGGACAGATAAAGGAAAATTTAGGAACAGGAAGGTCAAAGATATGGCCTGGCATAGAGTTGGCTAGAAGAGAAAGCATGAATTAGTTGCCCCGACGTGGAAACCGACGACCGAAGTGGAAACTCTTAAATGAGTAGAAGTTCTTGGATAGTACGTTACCATGTCTAATATTATGCTCGACGAAACGTGAGCATGTGGGGTGTAAACTCATCACCCTATTCACACAACTATAGCAGTCGATAAATACCTCTGATGCTTACCCCACTAGGGATTAGAGTTAATAATTTATTATTTTAAGTCTTATATATCAGTTGACACTCTAAATAAATCACAGACTCAACAAACTGTTATACTTTATTCAAAACAAAATTTTCCCCTAAACGTGTCCCTCATAATCGGTGCCATCGAAATTTTTTTGAGTGGGGTTTAGCGGTGAGGGGCTGACAATTATGCAGTTAACAGCTATGAATATTGGACGTGAAAGCTTTTATCTTTCATAAATGTCATATTTTGGTGGAAAATTATTATGGCACATTACACAATTAAATATCACTGGTAATGAGATAAGCTGTTTGTTTGATTGTAATATGGAAGGGGATAGGAGGCTTTCGGTAACCGGTTCATTGTGTATGTATGTATAGTTGTTATTATCTATCTGAATTGTAATGGTATACTAAGGATTCTAATTTACAAAAAAATAAATAGAATTGTATGGGACCAACAGAAAAGTAGAACTATTGCAAAGAGAATTATCATACCTGATACAGAATTGACGAAGATACCGTGTAATATGTTAAAAAAATTATCTATATTTATATTTAAATTAAAATAGTTAAAGGTGATATTAATCAAATTCCAATGTTGAATGAGACTTTCAAATGTTTCTCCTAACCTTTCTCAAATGTTACATCATTCATTATCAGGACATGTTTGTAAGCACGAGCAGTGCACACAGTTGTAAGTTAGATTAATAGGTATAAGGAAAGATTTAACAACTATATAATAATTATTTATAGAGTAAAAGTACATTGGCTCGTTCTTCGGATGAAAAATAAATTCGTATATATTCTTTGTAGCATTTGTAAAAAAAGATATACAGTGAAAGTACGATTTGTTCACAAATTTCTTGCAGTTTATCAAGTAGATTCGTAGTTCTGCATTTTGTTATTCTAGCCAAATTTTTATTTTATGTTAATATATAGGCGAACTTTCAATCAGGTAGGCCGTCAGCTTGTTTGCCATTCTAAGTTGTATATAAAAAAAAAAGAGTTTACATGAAATTTATGCCGAAATAAGTTACATTACAACATTAAAATAACATTACAGGTAGTATTCGAAAGAATTTTAATGATTTTGTGATAAACTAATAGCATACGGTTTTTGCAAAATCATAATAAATATAAAAATTGTGGATAAATAATTTTCAACAAGATGTAAAGGATTACTTACGGACTTTATTTATAATTTTATTCTACAAATATTAAAATAAAACATTTTTAATTGCAAATATAATGAACAAAAGTGAGTTTATCTCTAATAATAGACCTGTCTGTAGTCTAGACTCTAATTATTGGAGTATTAGTATCATCGTAGCAAAATTCTCAGAAGGTTGGATTCGCAAAACGTCAGCAAATTTACAGATAAGTTGCAAATACCTACGTACACAAATGTGTGTGTGGGAAACGTTAATTTTAAGATATTAAGCAGGCAGTGTGCTACATAAAATTAAGATAATGAAAAAGGTAACTTGGGTAAATTAAGAGATTTATATAAATAAACATATAATCCGAAACAACGGCAGACGGTGGACGGAAGGGACAACAGGACAGATAATAAAGACATTACAAAAGTACTTGAGATATATTCTGAATTTGATGATAGAGTTATATACAACTGGAGCATATTGAACACCTGCGCTAGCAGTTAACACCATTTTTATAGCCCTACAAAATCATCTGATGCCTATTGCAATGTTATGCATAATTTAAAGGGCTGTTGGGAGTTAATAAAATGGGCGTCCGTAAGCTTTCTGCTATAAGAAATGTGGTTATAACATCTATTTTTGCAATATACTTACAATATTTATGGCTCTCATAAAATTACAAGGATATGACAGCGAGAAAGAGGGATAAAGTTGCCAAATTTAATAAAGAAACAGAGGAAAGAAATCTTTTGTAATGTTATTTGATACGTTAGCTGAACAATGTTTATTAAAATCTACTATTTAGATTATCTGGGCCACTACTACATGGTGGGTTACATTAGTGCTTGTAAGTAGATTACAAGTACAAAGTAAGGCCTTGCCAAAAATAAAGGGTTAAGTACCCCATAAAGCGAACAGTATACACAACGCGAGGGGGGACTTGGGGAGGGGCGTAGTAACTCCGTATTTTATGAGCAACATTTTGAGTATTTCGAGCGGAAATTATGTTCGCCGTAGCGACATGTACGTAAACTCCAGATCTTTGCAGATTGTTTATTGTTCCTGTCAAAGTTTGCTTCGCTTCATAAGCAATTAAATTATTAGCCAGAGCTAATAATTCATCACTGTCTTCCCCGAGTAAACAAGGGTTAACGTTACCTTCAGATTGGTACTATTATAAGCATTGTTATAAAATTAGATCATCACGTTTCTTATCTAAAATACTTTTCCATAATAAATCCATAAGAAGTATTTAAATATTTCAATCTTACATCGAGTGGTAGTGAAAAGTAAATTAATTTTTTAAACATTAAATTTAGAAGAAATTATATAAAATGACTAGCTGATGTTTTACCACCATTAACCGGTTCTATTTTTATCGGAATAAAAACTATCTATCTCACAATTTTGATGAATCATAACACATTAACAAATTTTTATTCGGATCGATTGAGCGGTTTCA